AGGAAACAAGCAGCAAGCAGGACACACACACAGTCCTTGAACTTCAGGTGTGACGCGAGGAGTTCTGGTTTCACGTCTTGCACGTAAGAAGCTTGGACTTCATCACTCCCATCCATGGAACAAGAAAATCACTGAACAGGTGTAAAATCAGTAGCTTTTCTTTTCTCATATTCATAAAATAAGTGAAGTCTCAGGGTGAACTGCTGTCTCCAAAGTTGAAGTTGCGGTCAGGAAGACACAGAGGGTCACAGCTTGTCTGATCAGAAACTCATGACCAGAAACTCTGTGAGATCCAGGACAGGAATAGGAAATCCAGAGCTGTGGCTGAAGAATTGCTGAAGACTCACATTAGGAAAGTCTGAGAGTTAGGGGGGCCCCAGTGGGACAGGCTTAGGTTTCACAAAACTTTTAAACTCTACATCAAGGGCCTCCATGTTTTCCAAGGAAAGATGAGAAAAGAATCCTCATGCTCCAAACAGAATGGGGGAAAGAAGACATTGTGAAATGCACCAGAGTATGATGTTCTTTAAAGAAGCCTGACCACAGGAGAAGCTAATTCAGCTGATTCTAATAGGTTGGGGTTTCATCAGAGCAAAACTGAGCATAGGTCTGAGAGAAGAGAAACAGCCAACTCCATCTCCCTCCCCAGAGAGTCTTTCAGTCTCCAGTAAGGGAGGACACAGGCTTTATACTATATTTTGAACCATAATTAACTTGGAGTTATCTCTGGGATGCAAGGACAGTCTAAAAGAAGCAAGGTAATAAATGTGACAAAATATGTTCCACAATGAAGGGGAAAAAATGTATGATCATCCCAGCAGAAGCAGAAAAAAACATTTAACATAATTCAACACCATTTTAATAACAAAAATTGCAACAAATTACTAATAGAAAAATATAACTCAGTACATTCAAGATCATATACAACAATCCCACAACTATCAACATGCTTAGCAGTGAAAGTTAAAAGTTTGTTATAACTGATCAGAACAAGACAATAACACCCTTTCTCACCAATTCTCTTCAGAATAGAACTGGATGTTCTAGAAAGCAGAATGATGTAATAAAAACAAATAAATCACATTCACATAGGAAAACAAAATAAAAATCCTTTCCGTTTGCTGATAACATGATATCTTATATAAAAACCCTTTAAATTCCACCTGCTACAATTGAAAACTAATAAACACCTTTAGTAATATTTTGATATAAAATTAGCACACAAAAATCAGTAGTGTTTCTATACACTAAGAACAAACTATCTAAAATTAAATCAGTAAAACAATCCCATTTACAATAGTATCAGAAAAAAATAATTAGTCTTCCGAATAAGCACCTGGGAAGGTCACACACAGGACATGGCTCACTAAAGGACAGAACTCATCATAGGACTGTGCAGTGCTTCCCCTACCCCACACCTTACCCACATCAACCGGGCTTCTGTGGGGCCGGCCCCGTGGCACACTCAGGAGAGTGCAGCACTTGGGAGCTGCAGCAGCGCTCCCGCCGCAGGTTCAGATCCTATATAGGAATGGCCGGTGCACTCACTGGCTGAGTGCGGTGTGGGCAACACGAAACCAAGGGTTGCGATCCCCTTACTGGTCATAAAAAAAGACAAAACAAACAAACGAACAAACAAAAAAAACAACAACAACAAGGGCTTCTGTGTAATAACGGGGAAAAACTAAAACAGCACATTCAACTTAGACACTATTTAAGAAGTCTCTATTAAATCCTAGTCCAAAAATCATTATGGAACAGGAAATAAAGTTTGTAATGACACATCTAATTCCCAGTTCACTAAATTGAAGAATGCCCTGTACGCAGCGACAACCAATTAGTAATTAATTATTTAAGAGTAAAATAGAAATATTATTTCAATTCAGTTTTTTTGTTTTTTTTTTTTCTTAAACATTGGCACAGTCCACGCCATGGCAGGATCCTAAAGGAGTCAGCTTGGGCTGCCCTCTCTGAGTTGGCAAGGCCACCAGAGGGAGAGCTGCTGGCAAGGCCGCAGCTATGAGCACTTGCTACAACCATCAGGATCTCTGCCTTGGCATAGTGGTACTGTTTTACTTTCTCTCTTTTGATGTTTGGGTTAGCATGGCAGTTCTCTGAATTCCCAAAAGATTATAAAAATAACACAAATGATTATGTGGTCATTGAACTAAACATTCCCACAGAGGATCCGAGTAAATTGGACAATTTAAAATTACCCCCTTATGATAAATTGACCACACCAACATATGTTCCAAATGTACCACTCATGACTAAATATGAGCTGCAGCCTAAACACGTGAAGTTATATATGGGATACAAAATGGGGAAAGGAAAAAGTTGGTATCCCCCTAGGGGACGTCCAAAATATGATGTAAGTTGGGAAACATCATTTACTGGAGATTATATTAATGGCAAGAGAATGGTTGGGATTAATGAGAAATTATATGATTTGGACATATTAAGCATATGGGAACGAAACTGTAGCACCCCCTTTACTTGGTTGTGTCCAGTTTTAAATAAATCATTAAGAATCAGGTATTGGAATAAAAATATATGCTGGAAAATTATTAAACCTGGAAAATTAGATCTTAGAAGAATAAGAGAGTGTAACTGGTTTTGTGAGGGATGGTGCTGTGCACAATGACACTTTGACATTTAGATCAAGATGACACGGCCACAGTGAATGCATAACTTCAAAATGTGCATGATAATGCTGCTCCAATATCCACTGTTTTTTTTTTTCCATATGTTCAGTAGGTTCATTCCATTAGAACATAAAATAATTACACCCCAATTAGAATTTAAATTTTAGCATTGTTCCTTTTAGCAAATTTGTACTTACATTTAGCAATAG